CGGTGTTGATTGTTGTTTTTGTTATTTGTATATATATATATATATATATATACATATATATATTACACCGGCTTGAGAACAAGCATGATGCCATTGATAATGAAGTTATGGAGGAGTACAGAAAGATTAGATGAAAATGGGGAAATCAGAGAATACGGAGAATGAATGAAAAATGAAGGTTTTTTTTAGTTTCACCGTACACTTTTTGAAATTTCTTTTTTTTTGGGGGGGGGGTTATAGGGAACGGGGTTTCGCAGAACAAACCGCGCAGCAATCGCGCCACTGACATCTATTCTGAGCCACATCTCCCAGCATCTCTAGCCTTCGACAATCCTTATCCCTTGGGTCCCAGCCTGGAAGGCGAGCTGCACCAACCGAAGTCAATGCTGAGGCTAACTTCTTCATACCTCTACGCCACGTCATAGTCTAACCGCCAAGAAGCTTCTTCCAACCTTGCCCGGCACGTGCAGAGAGCACAGCGAGAGAGTCGCTGGGTAGGCATACGCGAGACATGACCGAGCCATCGGAGACGGCGTAGAAAAATTTCTTCCGTTAGGGAACGACTAATCACATCCAACACACGATGACGAATTTCGTCATTGCTCACCCGATGTTCCCACCAGACACGAGCAATGCTTCGAAGACATCGGTGGTCAAATACGGAAAGTCAATTAACATCCTCCGCCCGGAGCCGTAAGGCAGAACACTACCGACCGCGGCGATGTACACCCTTCCCTTAAGGGATAGTCAGATGTCATGGCGGCGCCACAGGTGTCGCAGGTTGGCGAAAGCTGCTCGAGCTTTCGCTACTCGTGATGTGATCTCTTCTCAACCCCACCTCCAGCTGTGATTAAGCTCCCGAGGTGCTCAAAGCTCTCGACCATTTCCAGCTGATCACCACAGATGGTGAGTGCAGGCATAGGCTCCTGCCAGTCTTCAATCAGCACTTTGCACCTTGATCGTGCAAAGCACATATCATACCTGGATACCTCGATCGCCAAGTGGTGTAAAGCTTGTTGGACTGCCTGTGCATTGTCATCCAACAAGGCGATGTCATCGGCATATTCTAAGTCAAGGACTCTGTTCCCGAGGAGGAGTTCGACTCCCCCGTCTGCTAGACAGAACAAAGCGTTCTACAGAACATCCTCTATGGCGAAGTTGAAAAGGAAAGGGGATATAGGACAGCCTTGTCAAACTCCACTGGAGATGGCGAAGGGTGCTGAAAACTGGCCATAAGCCCTAACTCGACTTGAGGTATGGCGATACAACTCTTTGAGGATAGACACATACTTCTCTGGTACTCCATTCCTCAACAAGCAGTTCCATAGTGCGGTCTTATCGACAGAGTCGAAGGCCGCGCGAATGTCTAAGAATACAATGATCGCTGGTCTCTGGTAGACATGACGGTGCTCAAGCAGCTGTCGGAGGGTGAAGATTTGATCGATGCATCCACGACCGGCACGAAACCCAGCCTGCTCCCCACGAGTAGTGTATAATCGGCGAAGAATGGGGGACGCCAACAGCTTTGACGCTATCGGGATTAGGCTTATACCCCAATGTTTGGCGCAATCATTGCGGGGACCCTTTTTAAATATGGGGACGACAATCGACTCCACCCACAAGAAGGGGACCTGCTCAGTGTTCCAAACTTTAGAGAACAGGACGTGGAGTTCTCTAAAAAGATTTGTTCTACGATCCTTAAATAGAGCTGGAGGAACGCCATCGGAGCCCAGCGCTTTGTGACGTCCCAAGGCTTGGATCTCCTTACAGATTTCCGCCTCAGAAGGTGGGTCTGCAGAAACAGACCATATGACGTGTGCGGAATCGCTGTGTGAGAAGCTGGCGCGGGTGGCCAGCTAAATTGCGCTTTGAAGTGCTCCGCCCAGCGTCCAAGACATCGTTGTTGATTGTGAATAAGCGAGCCATCAGCTTCATAGATCGTCTCGCTCACGCCCAAGGCTTTCCTATCGGTTACTCGGATGAGATGGAACAGCTTACGGGAATCGCCCACAGCAGAAGCACGTTCCATCTCTGATGCGCAGGACACAGCAGCTGAAGTGCTAATGCAAACTGATATTTCCGTATTGTTCATCCTTCCTTTATTTGTACTTTCGAATTTGTCTTTATCCACTTACTGGACACGTGCTTGTTTTTGGCAGTTTTACCACCGATTCACCATTCCTATATGTACGCTATACACGAATATTCCAAATCGACTCCAACACGGAAAGCGGACTTCATTAAAATCACCCTTTCATAATGCCTGGGCAACAGGACTTTAAAATCGGCCACAACAGGTCACGAGAATAAGTGTACCTACGATCACTCGCGTGATGAGCAATTTGATCAGAACTATGCAAACAATCGTGTACTGTTGATTGGAAATACCGATGAGTTGCAAGACTTTCAGGATGATTCGGCAGCTGATGTGTTTTGCATCTTTAGAGTGTAAACTGCTGTTATAGGATGTCATTGACCCAACTCCTGACTTCACTCTAGTTGCGAAGTAATATAGACAGACAAATTTAGCCATTTGGCCAATTACATCTTATCTATTGAACGAATCTCGGATGGAGTGTTGGCACACAGAGGGATCTCGGTTGGTTTGCCAACTTCCAGCATTTATGACTTCGTCGCGACATCAGTGGTATATTTGCTAATGAATGACATCGTATAGCACATAATGGGTAATAAAGAAGTAGAAGAGAACATTATGGTTACACCCTAACCCAACCACCAGTAAAACCCTTACCGGCGATGGCATATCTAGTAGCTATTTGAGCCAAGCGATCCACGGTATTTTCCACATCCATCTTTCCATCTTGAATGAGACCTAGATCAGTGAAGTGAAGAACACTTACAGACACGTACCACAATGTCCGTGACTTGTATACGGACATAAGCAAACATCACAAATTACAGTCAATGACGGAAACTTTTCCTTGATAATTTTCACTGCATTTACTACAACACTGTCATCTGAGTCGGCACGAGATCCAACGGCGTCTTTGACTTCCGGGGAAACAACACCGAAAAGAAGAACAGATGACAACTGCTTTTTCACAAGAGGTTCCAGATGATCTAGAATTCTATTAATTCCGAAACGCTTTTGATTAGGAAGACTTGGTATCTCTTCTGTTGCGTTTGGATCATCACTGGATTTTTGAGGGGGAAAATAAAAAATCAGCATACCTGATAAAAACTGGATAAACTAAGTGGTGAGGGTTAAGATTGGCTCCGCCCGATTGCCACTGTCGCAAAAGCCTATTGCGATAACCGGCGTGTAATGGGTGTGAGGAATGCATCTTGGATAAAAGCGAAGGAATCTCAATTTAGCGCCTTCCCTCACAAAAATTGTTTCAGAGCAGGTGTTCAAACGACGTCGATCACTAACAGTATTCTCTCCCCAAAGGGTGGTCTGGAAAGATTAGAAAAGAAAACTTCCAAGCTCAACAACGGAAGTGAAGTTTGTGGGCAAGCAGCAAAAGCGACTTACTGTAAACAAATGAACCAAAAATAAAACAAGTGCAGTTTGTAGCTCAGGTTGATGGTTTGTGGGGTCTTGTGTTCGCTGAGCTTGGCGTTTAGATCGCAAACGTTTCATCACCAGCCGAGGTGACATCGTCACGATGTCACCTCACTCTAACTGGATAAGTTGTTATCTGAGCAGCTACATCTCACCCGGTGGACGCATCACGGATGAAGTGTCAGCTCGCATACAGAAGGCTTGGTTACCATTTGCCAAGTTGAGACATCTGTGGCGTCGTCGCAACAACATCTGTGAAAGGTAGAGCATATACTGCAGTAGTTCAGCCAGTTCTGCCATATGGAGCAGAAACTTGGCCATTAAGAAAACAGGACAAAGATAGACTGTCGGTGTTTGAACACCGCTGCCTACGCAGCATTGCACGAATATGGTGGGGCAGCCAGACGAGCAATTCTGAGGTTAGGCGCAGAGTTTTAGATAAATGCAGTCGCCCACTGAAGTAAATAGTCGACCTACATAGATAACGTTGGTGGGGCATGTGTTACGCATGTCACTAGACAGGTTGCCAAGACGAGCGATGTTCGCCCAAATAGGTAGTGGGTGGAAGAAAGCCAAGAGTGGTTAAGGTAAGACATGGCATGAGGTTATGAAAACCCTATCCAGGGGACTGGGTCACATAGGTCCCGTTAGGCTCCCTGGATGGGGACCTCAGGTTGATGATACCCGGTGGTTAGCGACACTCAGTGATATGGCTGAGTGTCGTAAATAGTGGCGTTCGTGTATCTTGTCAATTTCTCTACAACATTAGTCCACTGTAATTCTAAATTTTCTCTTTGATCCTAATTTCAATTTTTGCTATCTTTCTCCTAATGTTTATCCAAATAGGCGGCCAAAATACAGCAACCAAAGTGAGTGATGATGAGTGTGCTGTGTCCAAAGCAGAATAGTAGCTTGTGCTCGCAGTGTACTGTGGATATTCCTTCCTGTAGGCACACAGCTGTAGTTGATTTGAGGACTCAACAGGATCTAGCTAGTGACAGAGTCTCGGCCGTATGTACAGGTATTCATCAGTAAGTGTTTTGAACGGACGTACACTAAAGACAGCTGATAACAATGATTTGAATCCACCGCTGACAACTAAGAATTTTCCACGGAATACTTAATTGTTCCTTTCGCGAAAAGTTGGTGCTTGATAGAAACAACCTGTGACCTATGCCAAGTTATTCATCTGCTTGACTGGGATCGCATATGAGTCACTAAGGCTGCCTTGGCCCGAGCAAACTAGCAGTATTCCGCCCACAAACAAATCACGGAACTTTCTCCTTTTTATAGAGATAATTGTTCAAATAGTTGTTTGGCAGATTTGAAGTTTGTATGTCGATTGTGAAAAGTTCAGTAACCTCGGTGGGATTGGAACCCACGCATGGACGCCGCCTACGCTTTGTACGCGCATGCTCTACCAGCTGAGCTACGAGGCCACTGAGGAGAGCGTTAAACTAAATATAATTGTATTGTGATTTGTTCAACGCACAGTCTGGATTCAGATGTGTGAAATGCAACTAACTAATGTCAATTTTGAAAATACGCTGCCTACCTCTCAGTGCTTCTAACCATGCACCTACAGAGTATTTTGGATCTCAACATGAAATACTGGAGACTCCTACTCAATGACAATTGGGTATTTCTTCAATCCTCGTCCGCATATCATATATTTGCCTCCATGTGATTTTCTCCAGCGTGGAGTGGAAAGTGCATATAAGGTTTGGTGCGGTTCGGCTACGCACGGGTAGTACATATCCTAAACAGCGAAGATTACGCATTCGAATTCAATGTGATAATTGATTTAGTACCAGTACATCCCCTAACACAAGAGGGCCACGGAGGCGTCCGACGCGGTGGTATGCGCAATCGCAATGAGATCTCTTTATGAAAATTAGAACGATCAGCTATTCACTCCAAGATGATGGAACGGGCTCCAGGGACCAGATGCTGCTTAACAAGACAGTTGTAGGGTTTATGAAACTATCAATCCCGGCTCCAGTCTTGGAAGATATGGAGGCCCAACATATCCTTTTTCTGAGTTTGAATGCAAGACCACATTTCTGTTTCCATCGGAGGATCACGTGACACTGCTAACGGACCACCAGCTGCACAGCGGTTTGCGACAGTTCCGTCGGATTGTTCGATTAATTAACCTCACGCAACGATCAAGCCGCCTCCAAATGCCTCGGTGTGGTCGGGAGTGGTTCCGAAATGGCAATTAGTCCCGAACTCCTCTAGAAATGNAACGACCAAGCGCCTCAAATAACTTCTGCTAGGGAAGTCCAACCCACCGCCTTCTCGTGTCGGGGATGCTAACACTAAAGTGGGAGGGAAAAGGCGAATGTCCGGCGCTTTCCACCGGGTTGACTGGACATTGGCAGCCAGACTAGGGAAGTTGGCTAATCCTTGATTCCAAACCACTCACATTTGGCGCAAGATGCTCATAATGGCACCAATCATCGGTTCAACCAAATCGGTCTCCAACGTTAACCTTCGGAGTTGATACCGTGACGATTACCGGCAATTGCGCGACTTAAGATAAACCTGGGTACTATGGATAGTTGGTCACATCCGAAAGGTATATGATCCCGATGAATAGCCGACTATGCGCAGTGAGACTCAGGGTTAAGTAAAAAAGCAGAAACCAAATGAACGGTGCTTGTTCGTGGTTTCTGTATGTGCTCCCACAGACTGTAGCCCGGATACAGTGAAAGANTCTATCACAACCTAAGATGGATATCGTTATCTTGACCGGAGACCTAAAAGCATGAGTTAGCCGTCTGTCACCCGACGAGACCCACTTTGGAAGCCACCATGGCCTTGATGACTGTCTTTCAGATAATGGGGATAGACTTCTTTGTATATTCTCAGGACACGATCTGTTCCTCGTCAGACACTCAAAGCGTCACCTCACCACTTGGCGCCAGACAGATCATATAGCAATTAGCTATAGAAGGAGAGGATGTGAGACTGCCGTTCGCATTGGTGTACCTGCTTGGATTCCAACCACGCACTGGTATATGCCAAATTGTCTATGCGATTTGGTGGCCGCAA